CCATGTTTATGCAAATGAAGCAGGGGGGATTTAAATCCCCGCTTCATTTGCAATTGCGATGTGTCTAATTTGCATCCCTTTTACGGAAAAGGGATGCAGTCTAGACACAGCCTAATGGAATAATTTTAAAGCAAATTTTAAACTAAGGTCCTGTCAACTAACGCAGCAAATGCAGTAATGGACAGGATATACTCGGGGCTGGCAAATGCCTGTCAAAAGAATTCCTTACCCCTCGATTGGCTCTTTCATTGTTTCAGTGTTCTGCTAATATGTCTGTCAGGCTTTTTTACTTTATAGTTAACTAGATCCTCTCTGGAGGAAGCAGAACCAGAGAGCGGGGATAGGAAGAGCTGGGTGGGCGGACATTAAGATCCAGCAGTGCCCCAAAGTTTCAGGTACCCTGTGCAACTGCATATTCTACGTACGGCTAAGGACGGCCCTGCCTGCATCCACTGAGCTATTCAGGATGGTAACCCAGTGGGCCCAGTTAGTGGAACTGGTCACATGGGGAGTATTTTCCATCAGCAAAGTAGAGTGAGATTGAATCAGGACTTGCTCAAGGCAGAAGTGCCAAACGGCCCACTCAGGTACTGCCAGAAACCCTGCCCGCTCCTCAGACTGCCTATCTCTACACCTGAAAAACCCTAAGAAATGCTACAAACCGAGCGTTCGTGAGCCTGGGAGTGTTGGAAGGGACACCCCTCTGCGATATTCAACACATTTTTTACAAAAGACACATTTACTAATTCTATGAGCCTTGTTGCAGACCCATTGGTGTCTAAGGAAACCTGCTTCACAAGGGGAGCCGCCAGCGAATCTGCACCTATATGATGAAGAAGAAGATTTTCAGTGGTTCGCTGTTCTCACTGGAGTCATTCAAGCAGGGACAGAAGTACGGGTAAATCGTTTCTGTGAACTTGTCCATGAAAGTGTAGATATGGAACATCTTATTGGCATCATAAAAGGACACCTGTCCCCCTTCATAATCCAGATAAACCCCGATCTTAGACAGACCAGTGCTCAGGGTCAGACCTCTCGCAGGTATGTCCAAAGCTTTGAACTTATTCCTGTCCCTGAGCCTTATAAGCCAGAATCCATCGTTGGGTGATAACGTCATGTTCCCTTTCCGGCTGATGGACTCCTTGACCACCCCCAAAGTCCATTTGGTCTTGTTCTCCACCTCCACTTCCCAATAATGTTTTCCAGAAGTGAATCCTTTGGATCCCAAGACAGCAACGCTGGAATCAAACCTCTCGGGGGTATCTGGGAGCGTTTGCTTTATGTCATCGTGTTTCACACAGCGCAGATCCTCAGAGAGAACCAGGTTTGGATGGGCTGTCTTCGGGTCCAGAGTCACCAATGAAAGGCCTTGGTAAAAAGGGAAAGCATGGTTATCAGAGAGAGCATTTAACATGGTCCTTTCCACAGGGTAACGAGGGCCCTGGGAGTGCCGCAAGCACCGTCCCAGAACTGAGAAATTCTCCTCGTGCTTCTCATCACCACGCAGGAGAATCAGAGACGCAGCAGGGTTAGCTCCTGGGGGCAGCACAAGCTGGGACTGAACAGTCCCGGCTCATGCCAGCTCCAGGCTGCTGCAGCTCTGGTCCCCTTTGTCCCTCTGCATCACAAAGAGGGTGCTGGGCTTTTAAGCCAGCTCCCCCCAGCACCAGTGCCTGCTCCCCCCCCCCCCTTTGCTGCCTCTGACACAGAGACAGCAAGTCGGGGGTGGGGAAAGCAAGTAGCCGACTCCTGCCTTACATCCCTAGACCGTGTGACTGGGCCTTCCCAGAGCTGAGCTGTTATCAGTATCTGTGCCGCTCCGCTGTGGGCTGTAACCCTAACTCTGTGCCATCACTGGGGGAGCAGTGTGGTGGGGCACCTCAAAGAGCAGCTAGGCGGGCTCAGAGGTATTTTCAGCACAGCAAGTGACAGTCTCAAGGGGATCTCTGTGACTGAACCCGTCACACTCTCATCTTAGTATCTGATCACACACACGAGTGAATTTATCTTCCCATCACCCTCAGAGTACTGGAAATATTGTCATAGTTTTTAAAAATGTAAAGTAAATGACAATGTTCTTCTGTTTACATTTAAACCTTTCTCTCGAGCGTTGGACTCCAGGCTAATACGCGTGTTAATATTACATGTTAACTACAGATTGAGACAAGCGAGAGATTAGGGGGAAATCACATGTAACAGCTGCTTATCCTTTTGAATCTCGGTGGAACAGCAACACAAAAGGAAAAACACATCCAGATTGAAAAAAGCAGGCGTGGGCCAAATGAGTTGTAATGGCTAATGAGCAATATCTCATTACCTGGTTTGAGGCTGGATTTCATTTCCTTCCATATGGTGTATTGAATTGGACCCTTGAACTGTCCCATGCTCAGTTCGCGGCTGACGAGTTCACCCACAGATAAGGTGGCTGATTTTTGCTCCAAGCTGCACAGGGGTACAATACATACGGCCTGTTTGCTTGTGTATACAGTGTCTGGTAAATACAGAGACTACCGAGGCACTAATGCTGCAAACAAACATTGCAGCCTCTCTGGTAAAATGTTAGTGTTTATATCCCCTTTCTTCAAACATTCTAGCAAACAAGTTGTACCGACACAATGATGCTGTGTCTAGTCTAATACGGTTACCACGTTACAAAAGTGTGAAAGTCCTAGTACAAAGTACACTTTGTGAAGTGTCACCAGAAAAGTTATAATCTGCTGAGTATTATCTTGTTATGATGTGTGCATCAACATTGTGTGTGGAGTTCTGAAATGCTGCTATATGTTTGCAACTCAACCACGTTGTGAGTCTGAGAAAGGCCCACAGGTTAGCTCTTCAGGAATAACAAAAGAGCTGTAAACAAAGATGCTTCAAATGGCACGTGGGCAGAAGGTCCTTGCAATTCATGTGAAGGACTGCTGGCAAAGCACAGACAGGGCGGGACTGCTTGGCCCCAGGCCACAGCAAGAATATTTCCCAGCAAAAAGGGCCAAGATATAAAAAGGGAGAACAAAGGTCCCTGGTCATTTCTCTCCTCCTACCCCATCTCTAGACTGGTGAATTCTGACAGGAAATTTTGAACTAAAGGACTGAGGTCTTCAAAAATACAGAGAGACATATAGAAAACTAGCAGATTTAACATCCAGGCTATTGTTTGGACTTACAAATTCTAATTCAGTAATGTATTTTACCTGCTTTAACCTCTACATAACTCATATTTCTTTGTCTTAGCTAATAAATCTTTAGTTAATTTACCAAAGAAATTGGCTTCTGGGTTGACTTTGGTGTGAGATGCATTGCTGGGGTGACAGATGACTGGCTCTTTAAGGCTGTAAGAACCTAAAATGGTGATTTGGGGCTTTTAATA